GTGCATGTTCTGTGGAGCTTTTCACACTCACCCAGCAGGGTGTGGACTCAAACCTAACAGACTGGTTCATGAGCTTGTTTACTGGTTTTTGGTGACAACTGGAGAGGGCCACGGCACTCAGGTCTCACCAAGGAGAATCCTGACCCCAGGTCATCACTCCTCATGCTACCTGCAGGCAGCCTTGGGGCACGGAGCTGTTTCCCAGGGTCTTTGCTCCTGTCTCATGGAGAAGCCATGGCTGGGATCAGAGGTGAACTCTGGCACAGCTCAGGGGAGCCCTTGGGTGATGAGCCAAAGCCTGGAGGCATTTGAGCAGCTGGGAACTTTCCTGTCAGCAGGACCAGAGTGCCCCAGGCTGGAATCACCTACCTCTTCTGTATCCCTTGTGCACTCAGGTCATCACTTCTGCCCATACTGACGCATCCGTGCCCCCAGAAATCCTGGAACCTCTCAGACCTGCACTCAGAAGTGTCCATGAGGGAACGGTGATGATGTAGGCCAGGAAATGCAATGTCAGGGTAGTGGGAATCACCACCTCATGCCATACCATTCATTCCCTGAGGTGTTTCCGTTCCTTGGGATCATGCAGGAAAATTGTCACTTATGCAGCACGGCCTTTGGGCCCTGAGGCACTGTGGGGCCAGTATAAAAGCCAGCCGAACTGGTGGCTCTCTCAACCCCTTCTGTCACCTCCTTCTCCTCAGCAAGCCGGTGAGTGGGAAGCCCCTTTCTCCTCCCCCCTCTCTAGACAGGGTCGGCTTTGCAGCCCATCCTGCCCTTGGTCTTTGTGGGAGTGCCGGGGATGGTGGTCGTGTGGGCAGAGGGGAGGCGGTCTTGTTAGGACAGAGGCGGAGGCTGGGCTGCGGGGGGCGTTTTCCTACAGATGAGGAGGAGCAGCCTGGGCTGTCTGATCTCGGAAGGCCTGCTGGGACAGGGAAGGCTCCTTGTTGGCCCCTGCGGCAGAGCTCTCCCTCCCCAAGCAGAGCAGCTGCATTGGCTCCTGGCTGGTGCTTTTGCCGGCTGTTGCTGAGGTGTGCGTGTGCTCTGCTTCCTCCCTGCCCTGTGTGCCAGTGCAGCCCCCCGGCTCGAGCCATGTGTGCCCTGAGGTGGCCAGCGTGCCAGCCCTGCAACCCTTGATGCCACCCGCGGCCGGACCCCGCTGGCCCACAGCTGAAATGAGTGCTGTGTCAGGCAGGGCCAGAGCTCCACCGTCGTCATTGAGCCGCCGGCTGTGCTGGTGACCCTGCCCGGGCCCATCCTCAGCTCCTTCCCACAGAACACCGTGGTGGGATCCTCCACCTCCGCTGCCGTTGGCAGCATCCTCAGCTGTGATGGAGTGCCCATCAACTCCGGGGGCTTTGACCTCTCCTGCATCACCAGCTGCTACCGTGGCAGATGTCCCCCCTGCTAAAGCCCCTGCAAACCTCCTTGGCCAACAACCTGCAAGACCTCTCATCATGCTGCTGCACTGAAAACACAACGCTGGGACATTGCATTTAGACTTTATGGCTCTTGTTTCCTTCTTCTCCTCTCTTCTCTCTCTTCCCTTCCTTTTCTGTCACCACCACCCAATGCCACCCTCCTGGGGACCTTTTGGCCTCCCTGCCTCTGCAGCCCAGGCAGAGGGACACTCCCCCTGCATCTTCGGGGCTGCCGCTGGTGCCCCCTGTGAGCCACCTCCTTTGCTTCTTTAGACTCAATAAAGTTGTTTTGCATCCAAGCCTGGGACTCTGAGTTCTCCTTCCTCCCATGGCAAGTCTTCCAGTCAGATCAGGAAGAAGGTGGAGGAAGCAGTGGTCATTTTCCCTTCAGTGGATTTCAATTTTTGTTCTTTCCCTTGCAGCTCACAAACACATCCCTGACTGAGGGGGTGGTTAGACACCGGAAAAAGTTACCAAGAACATTTGTGGATTCCTAAGCCTAATCCCTGGAAGTGTTCAAAGTCAGATTGGACAGCGATTTAAGCACTGTGGTTTAGTGGGTGGCATCCTGTCCATGGAGTGGGGGGGAGCTTGTGGAAATAAATGTTTTTTAGGATACTTTCCAGTTAAACCAGTCTAAGATTCCATGATTTGAAAGGAATTCACTTTGATAGAGGAATCAGCAGTGTGAGAAATGTGCTCAGCAATGGGCAGCACTGAGTCCCTTCTGGAGACAGCTGGAACGGACTCTCACACACACAGGGCAGGAGCCACTGGACTCTTCTCACAGAGCCCAGCCTGGCAGCCTTCTCCCCCAGCTCCCAAACCTTGCCACATTTACACAATACAGGGGGTCCAAAGCACAATTAGATGAATAACAAGTTCAACTACAAAGCACCAGCCCAGGCATCAGACAGGGATGGATGTAAATGTGAATAACCTAAAGAAAAGTGATAGCACTGCTCCCTAGGCAAAGAGGGAATTTGCCTGGCCTCTCTCTTGATGGAGGAGATGGGTTTGATCCATTTGGTCCCAAAGCACATGTCCCTGCCTGCCTAGACACAGTTGCTGGCAACTCTGATTCAGCTTTTTGGGGAGCTATGGAAGTCCTGGTGCTCAAACACCAAAACGACTCCACAGCTCTTTGACTGTCCTAGTACCACCCAGAATGTCTGTCCTACATCTCCCAGCAGAGTGACATCTCGACCCTGATCCCTCCAGTTCCACACCCATTTGGCACAGGGTCTCAGCAACATTCCGCCAACAGGGAATTGATTCAGGGATCAGGGCCTGCACAGTGGGCAGGAGTTATTGGCTTTCCCCCTGAACAGAAAGCAAGAAATGGAGGGTGCAAGAGGCAGAGGCTGCATTTCAGTTCTCTGGACACTCCTCTGCAGGGTCGAAGGCAGCACCATTCAGCTGTAGATTGGCTCCTTCTGGTGGGGGCAACCGGCTACTCTGTGGTGCTCACGGACACACCAAGGGCAGATCCAGTGTTGGAACCTTCCACTGCCCTCCTGATGGGGATCCCACACACACAGACTGACACACATGTGTGCCTTGAGCCCTGCAAAAATCTGAACACGCTTAGAAGGACAGAAAAACATAAAGAAGTGGGAACTGTGCTGAGGAGATGTTAGGAACCCCTCTGCAAAACAGTATGCAAGTACCCTAGTGTGGCATGATGGATAGGTTTACAATTTAGAGGGGGCTTGGAATTCTGGGGCAAAATGCAGTATCTACTCCCTAGAAGGGAATGTGGCCATCATGCTCTTCATACAATAGAATCATCTGCTCAGAGGAACAGAACAGATAGTGGAACAGAGTGGAAACTACTTGGCCCCCCTCCATTCAAACGCCAGCAGAAAGGGGGAACATTGTGGGACTCTGAAGGTCATGAGACCATACGGTGTCTGTCAGCCAAGGGAGAATCAAGGTGTTCTGCTGCTGAGCCAACAACCATGCCAAACCCCCTCTGGAGGTGCCAAAGCACCACCACCCCCCTCTCATTAGGTGTGGCAAGACAATTTTACGCCAACCAGAAATAAACAGTATTTATGACTAAAGCCACCCAAGCTCCCCAAAAACACAAACAAAGAGTATAAAAGTATGTTGGGGATGGGGGAAAGTTGGGAGAGGGCTCCACCAAAACTGCTGGGGTCAGTCAAGGGGCTGAGCCCATCTCTTCCCCCCACAGGGACACCTATTGCAGAAGCATAATACTCTACACATGTTAACTCTTGCTTTTAGGACTAGAGCTTGTGCTTGCTTAATATATATCAGTAGATTGCTTTAAAACACATTTTTGTAGCCAGACACTGTCACTGACAACCATAAAACTTATTAACCTGCCACAATTTGTATTATAAAGAGTGTTATTCCGTGAACTGTTAAGAGTGAGTCCTTTCACGTGCTGGCAGCAGATAACACTTTGGCAGGACCTGCTGAGGGGTCTTCATGTTGTTGGTTGAGCCCCCCCGATAAGGGCAGTCAAATCCCCTTTGATCTGTTGAATCTGTTGCTGAAGGGTCTCAGTACAAGACGCTGACACAAGGGTCACCCTGGTTGGACACAAGGGTCTCCACTTTCCTGGGGGCACCAACCAGCAAAACCTAAACCCTCCACTTTCACATGACACATGGGAATGGACCAGGCAAATGAAATGTACCTTGTCTTCCCAAAGGATCTGTAGAGAGTGTACAGAGAGAGGACAGGGTGAATGAGACCAGCACAACTTCCATGAGAGCACTTTAAACAGAGAACAGGGTCGAACCCTGCCAGCAGAACCTCAGTTGAGTGAAGCAAAGGGTGCCTGTCACAAACAGAAGGGAAGAGAAAGACAAAAGGATGTTTCATGGTCACTCTCATGGAAGTCCTTGGGAATGTGGGTAGAAATAACAAGAGCAGTATCCAGTTCATGAAAACTTTACCACAAAAAAACCACCCAGAAATGACACAGGTTCACATCACCTGCCTGCACGGGAAGACACCAGCCCTTGATCTGAGCCTTGTGCCTGCAATGATGTCTTTATGTCCTGGAAATCCTTGGGCCTCTCATCCCAACATTTACAGAATTCTTCCTACGGGAAAGCACGTGGAATGCACAGGAAATGAAAAGGCAGCAGTGCAGGAAACCAGGACACAGCCCCTACCATTAGCTGGGATGGTTCACATTTGACATGAGCTGGTCAGAAAATTATGACTTGCACAAAGGTGCCTGTGGGCCTGACGCAGTGCAGGACTGCTATAAAAGGCAGCCCAAGTCTCTGCTCTCTCACCCACTTCTCTCATCACCTCCACCTTGGGAATCAGGTGAGAGGAAAATGCCATTCTTCTTCTTCTGCTTCACCTGATATGGGCTGTGCTAGGCCAGGGCTGGGAGCTGCTTCTGCTGGGAGAGGGAAGGGGAGAGAAGGTGTTGTGCAGAGAGAGGCTGGGACTTGGCTGAGGAGGCTGCTGGGCTTTGGGCTGGGCAGTGTCATGTGGTGCAGGAGGTGCCTTGTCTGCAGGGGGGTTGGGTGCAGGGCTGCTTCTCATGTGTGTCTGCTTTGTGCTTCTCCCTGCCCTGTGTGCCAGGTGCCCCTGTGAGCCAGAGACATGTCGTGCTGCCAGCCCTGCAACCCTTGCTGCCAGCCCTGCGGCCCGACCCCGCTGGCCAACAGCTGCAATGAGTGCTGTGTCAGGCAGTGCCAGAGCTCCACTGTTGCCATCCAACCCTCTGCTGTGGTGGTGACCCTGCCCGGGCCCATCCTCAGCTCCTTCCCACAGAACACCGTGGTGGGATCCTCCACCTCCGCTGCCGTTGGCAGCATCCTCAGCTGTGATGGAGTGCCCATCAACTCCGGGGGCTTTGACCTCTCCTGCATCACCAGCTGCTACCGTGGCAGATGTCCCCCCTGCTAAAGCCTCTGCAAACCTCCTCGGCCAACAACCTGCAAGACCTCTCATCATGCTGCTGACCTCTCATCATGCACTGAAAACACAACGCTGGGACATTGCATTTAGACTTTATGGCTCTTGTTTCCTTCTTCTCTGTTCTCTCTCTTCCCTTCCTTTCCTGTCACCAGCACCCAATGCCACCCTCCTGGGGACCTTTTGGCCTCCCTGCCTCTGCAGCCCAGGCAGAGGGACACCCCCCCTGCATCTTAGTGGCTGCTGCTGGTGCCCTCTGTGAGCCACCTCCTTTGCTTCTTTAGACTCAATAAAGTTGTTTTGCATCCAAGCCGTGCTCTCCAAGTCCTCCTTCCTTCAGTGGCAACTCTTCCATTCAGCTGAGAGAAAATGATGGACAGAGTCGAGGGTGGGACTCCTTTCAGTGGGTTTTTCTTTATGCCCTTTCCCTTGGAGCTCACAAACTTATTCCTTGGGATTCCACAGCAAAGACCATCAGGCAGAAGATGGCTCCAAGAAGTGTCAGGTGTGGGAATGGGAAACAGCAATGGCTGGACACAGCCCACAACCTCATCCCTTCCTACACCTCCCTTACACTGACTGTTCTGCCCAGCTTGTGTCCAGGCAGGCAGGGCTGGGGTGTTTCATGTGTCAGGATTGGGATCAGCCACACAAAAGAGCTTATTGGGATCAGCTGTTCTATGGAGCCCTTTGTAGGTGGGTGCACCATGAAGAAAGCTGTGGTACTGTGAAAAGCCAGCACTCGAAAAGAATCCTGGCAGGCATATCCACTGCCGTGGAGAGAAGCCCACAATGGAGCAAGTCCTACTGCCAGGACCTGTGAGCCTGTCAAGGAGTAACGTTGGAGCATTTTGTTCCTAAAGGACTGTACCCTTTGGAAATGACCCACCCTGTTGCAGGGGACCCACAGTGAAGCAGGGGAGCAGAGTGGCAGGAAGGAGTGCAGAGACTTCCAGAATGGGCTGAGCACAACCCCCTTTCCCTCTCCCCCCGTGCCACTGGTGGAGGGAGAAGAAGGTGGAGAAGTGTAGGGATAAATAAGTCTTTTTGTGGAAGATTTTGTTACTGAGGAGTTAGTTATTATGCTTAGAAAAGGCTTCCCTTGCCAGCTTTTGCAAAATATTGCAGTTCTCTCCCCTCTTTCCTTGCAGAAGCTTGCTCTCTGATGGGAGAGGAGAGAGCAGATGCCATAGGCCTTCTCATTCCAGCGGGGAGAGTGGGGGGGAGCAGACATAATGGAAACTCGAAGGAGGAAACAGGAGGTGCCTTTTTCCACTGGAGGCCTGGTGCACCACCTCATCAAGAAATGGTCCTTGCATCTGAAATAAAACTTATTTTTTAATCCTTCCTGGCATTCTTGGGAAGATTACCTGCACATGTTTTACCTCACAAGAAGTCTTCAGCGAAGCTGAGACCAGGAAGAAAGGAAACAGGGGGGAATGTGGGTTTAAATTTGCTAATATTTCACTTTACTCAACTCCATGGGAAATTTGCAATAAGTTAAATCTATTTCCCCAACATGAATCACCTTTATCTGGGACAGTAATTGCTGAGTGTTTCCCCTGACCTTACTTTGACCCCTCACCTTGGCATTGTATTTTCTCCCCTCGCCCAGGTGAGGGTGGGCAGTGATAGAATCTCCTCATGGGCACCAGGCTGTTTGCCAAGATCAACCCATCATGACCTTGAAACACCTTGTTTACTAATTCCCTGAGCAGCCTGAACTCTGCTGGTTGCCTGGGGGAAGAGACCCACCCCCACCTGGCTACAACCTCCTTTCAAAGAGTTGTAGAGAGTGAGGAGGTCTCCCCTGAGCCTCCTCTTCTGCAGGCTAAACCCCCCCAGCTCCCTCAGCATCCCCTCACAGGATACACCCTCTAGGCACTTCACCAGCTCCATTGCCCTTCTCTGGACTCACTCCAGCACCTCAATGTCCTTCCTCAGCTGAGGGGCCCAGAACTGGACACAGCACTCGAGGTGTGACCTCACCAGTGCACAGTAGACAGGCACAGTCACTGCCCTGGTTCTGCTGGACACTATTCCTGATACAGACCAGGATGCCCTTGGCCTTCTTGCCCACCTGAGCCCACTGTGGCTCATGTTCAGCCACTATCCACCAGCAGCCCCAAGTCCTCTTCCACTGGGCCTCTTTCCAAGTGCTCTGCCCCCAGCCTGTAGAGCTGCAGGGGGTTATTGTGGCCAAAGTGTAGGACCTGACATATGGTCTTGTAGAACCTCACCCTGCTGGATTGGACAATGTATCCAGCCTGTCCAGATCCTTCTGCAGAGGGAACATTCCATCATAGCTCCCTGATAGCTTCACAGCTCCGGCCAGCGAGACCTGCTCCATTGTTGGCTTCACTCTTCTGCAGTGGACATTCCTACCAGGAATCTTTTCTGGTACAGGCTCTTCACAGGGTCGTGGCGTTCTTCATGGTACATCTGCATGAAAAAGGCTTCCACAGAACAGTTGATCCCAATCCACTCTTTTAGGTGGTTGATCCCAATCCTGACACATGAAACACCCCAGCCCTGCCTGTCTGGACACAAGCTGGGCAGAACAGTCAGTGTAAGGGAGGTGTAGGAAGGGATGAGGTTGTGGGCTGTGTCCAGCCATTGCTGTTTCCCATTCCCACACCTGACACTTCTTGGAGCCATCTTCTGCCTGATGGTCTTTGCTGTGGAATCCCAAGGAATAAGTTTGTGAGCTCCAAGGGAAAGGGCATAAAGAAAAACCCACTGAAAGGAGTCCCACCCTCGACTCTGTCCATCATTTTCTCTCAGCTGAATGTAAGAGTTGCCACTGAAGGAAGGAGGACTTGGAGACCACGGCTTGGATGCAAAACAACTTTATTGAGTCTAAAGAAGCAAAGGAGGTGGCTCACAGAGGGCACCAGCAGCAGCCACTAAGGTGCAGGGGGGGTGTCCCTCTGCCTGGGCTGCAGAGGCAGGGAGGCCAAAAGGTCCCCAGGAGGGTGGCATTGGGTTCGTGGTGACAGAAGAAAAGGAGGGAAGAGATAGAAGACGAACGGAGAAGAAGGCAACACACGAGCCATAAAGTCAAATGCAATGTCCAAGCGTTGGTCGTTGTGTTGTTTCAGTTGCAGCAGCATGATGCGAGGATGGTCTTGCAGTTTGTTGGCACGGAGGTCTTGCAGGGGCTTTAGCAGGGGGGACATCTGCCACGGTAGCAGCTGGTGATGCAGGAGAGGTCAAAGCCCCCGGAGTTGATGGGCGCTCCATCACAGCTGAGGATGCTGCCAACGGCAGCGGAGGTGGAGGATCCCACCACGGTGTTCTGTGGGAAGGAGCTGAGGATGGGCCCGGGCAGGGTCACCAGCACAGCCGGCGGCTCAATGACGACGGTGGAGCTCTGGCACTGCCTGACACAGCACTCATTGCAGCTGTTGGCCAGCGGGGTCGGGCCGCAGGGCTGGCAGCAAGGGTTGCAGGGCTGGCACTGCTGGCACTTCTCAGGGCACGACATGGCTTGAGCCTGGGGCTGCACCTGGCACACAGGGCAGGGAGGAAGCAGAGCACACGCACACCTCAGCAACAGCCGGCAAAGCACCACCAGGAAGCCAAGGCAGCTGCTGCTGCTTGGGGAGGGAGAGGCTCTGCAGGGGCCAACAAGGGAGCCTTTCCCTGAGCCCAGCAGGGCCTTCAGAGATCAGACAGGCCCAGGCTGCTCCTGCCTCAGCTGTAGGAAAACAGCCCCCTCAGCCCAGCCTCCGCCTCTGTCCCTAACAGACGCTCTCCCCTCTGCCCACACGACCACCATCCCCGAGCACTCCCACAAGACCAAGGAGCAGGGATGGGCTGCAAAGCTCGACCCTGTGCTAGAGAGGGGGGAGGAGAAAGGGGCTTCCCACTCACCGGCTTGCTGAGGAGAAGGAGGTGACAGAAGGGGTTGAGAGAGCCACCAGTTCGGCTGGCTTTTATACTGGCCCCACAGTGCCTCAGGGCCCAAAGGCCGTGCTGCGTAAGTGACAATTTTCCTGCATGATCCCAAGGAACGGAAACACCTCAGGGAATGAATGGTATGGCATGAGGTGGTGATTCCCACTACCCTGACATTGCATTTCCTGGCCTACATCATCACCGTTCCCTCATGGACACTTCTGAGTGCAGGTCTGAGAGGTTCCAGGATTTCTGGGGGCAAGAATGTGTCAGTATGGGCAGAAGTGATGACCTGAGTGCACAAGGGATACAGAAGAGGCAGGTGATTCCAACCTGGGGCACTCTGGTGGATTTCTGTAATGCTTCCTGACTTCTGTAATTCCTACTGGCAGGAAGGGTCCCAGCTACTCCCAGCCCTCCGTTCCTTGGCTCTTCACCCAAAGTCCTCCCCTGAATGTGGGTCTTGCCCTGCTGGTCAAAACACTTTGGCTTCCTTCGGTGCCTGGACAGTCCCTGAGGCTCCTCTGGCACTGCTGCCTGAGCATCTGTGCTGCTCAGAGGCCCCCTCCCTGCTCTGGCAGGGAGCTCCCCGGCAGCTCCTCACTCCCATCCCATCCCCTCTGCCCCCTGTGCTGATCCCCAGGAATGGGTGGGGGAGTGTGACCATGCCCTGGAGCGTGTGAGTGTCTGCACATCCCTGTGCTTGTGCTCCCCTAGGAACACACCCCTGGGAGCCTCTGGCCTGCAGTGTCTCTCTGTGCACAGGGGAAAGCACTTGAGTGCAACCTGCTGTGTGAGTCCTTGGGCATGTTTGCTGTGTCTGTGCATCTGGGTTTGTCCTTGTGCTCCCTGGGCAGGTTGGGAATGTGTCAGTGCCTGCGGGGGTGTCCTCAGCTGTGTCTGAGCTCATGGCTGAGCCCAACCATTCCAAGGCCTGTAGTGACATCCCTCCTCAACAGTGCCGGGCACTGGCACAGTCCCAGCTCCCCCTTTTCTGAGGAGAGCTCGTTACTGGAAAAGTGATATTTCTTTAAAAAGAGTCTATGCAGCCTTTGGTGAAGATGTGAAAAATATCTTTTAAGTTTAGCACAGTAGTGTTTGATCCCTATATTCATGGTTAATACTTAGTTTTGTCCCACATAGTGCTTAGTACAGATGCCTGAGTTTGATGTGGCTTTGTGTTAAGTCCCTCCATCTGTGACTTATAGTCTTGTGACAGCAATAGCTTCCTTATTTCCCTATATCAGTGATTGATATGGACTCTCAAATGTCTTAGTTTTGAGAGCAAGGATTGTGTGTCAGAACAAAGATTGATAAGAGAAGTTTGTTATGACCTGACCACGTGTTTGAGATACTCTCAAGAAGAGAGAACACACTAGAACATCTGGAACCATAAAAGGAAAACATGGGGAATGGGACGTTCCCAAGAGATGACCAAAAACTCTCAAAAGACCCCTATGAATATCCAAAAAAGTCCACAAATATATTTAATGTATATGCATGGATTTAGGAACTGTAATGAATATGTAATAAAAATTTGATGAATACGTGCTAGCTTTATGAATATAACCTGGTCTGTTTGGTTGCTGGGTGTGCATGTTCTGTGGAGCTTTTCACACTCACCCAGCAGGGTGTGGACTCAAACCTAACAGACTGGTTCATGAGCTTGTTTACTGGTTTTTGGTGACAACTGGAGAGGGCCACGGCACTCAGGTCTCACCAAGGAGAATCCTGACCCCAGGTCATCACTCCTCATGCTACCTGCAGGCAGCCTTGGGGCACGGAGCTGTTTCCCAGGGTCTTTGCTCCTGTCTCATGGAGAAGCCATGGCTGGGATCAGAGGTGAACTCTGGCACAGCTCAGGGGAGCCCTTGGGTGATGAGCCAAAGCCTGGAGGCATTTGAGCAGCTGGGAACTTTCCTGTCAGCAGGACCAGAGTGCCCCAGGCTGGAATCACCTACCTCTTCTGTATCCCTTGTGCACTCAGGTCATCACTTCTGCCCATACTGACGCATCCTTGCCCCTAGAGTGGGGGGGAGCTTGTGGAAATAAATGATTTTTAGGATACTTTCCAGTTAAACCAGTCTAAGATTCCATGATTTGAATGGAATTCACTTTGATAGAGGAATCAGCAGTGTTAGAAATGTGCTCAGCAATGGGCAGCACTGAGTCCCTTCTGGAGACAGCTGGAACGGACTCTCACACACACAGGGCAGGAGCCACTGGACACTTCTCACAGAGCCCAGCCTGGCAGCCTTCTCCCCCAGCTCCCAAACCTTGCCACATTTACACAATACAGGGGGTCCAACGCAGAGCAAAGCACAATTAGATGAATAACAAGTTCAACTACAAAGCACCAGCCCAGGCATCAGACAGGGATGGATGTAAATGTGAATAACCTAAAGAAAAGTGATAGCACTGCTCCCTAGGCAAAGAGGGAATTTGCCTGGCCTCTCTCTTGATGGAGGAGATGGGTTTGATCCATTTGGTCCCAAAGCACATGTCCCTGCCTGCCTAGACACAGTTGCTGGCAACTCTGATTCAGCTTTTTGGGGAGCTATGGAAGTCCTGGTGCTCAAACACCAAAACGACTCCACAGCTCTTTGACTGTCCTAGTACCACCCAGAATGTCTGTCCTACATCTCCCAGCAGAGTGACATCTCGACCCTGATCCCTCCAGTTCCACACCCATTTGGCACAGGGTCTCAGCAACATTCCGCCAACAGGGAATTGATTCAGGGATCAGGGCCTGCACAGTGGGCAGGAGTTATTGGCTTTCCCCCTGAACAGAAAGCAAGAAATGGAGGGTGCAAGAGGCAGAGGCTGCATTTCAGTTCTCTGGACACTCCTCTGCAGGGTCGAAGGCAGCACCATTCAGCTGTAGATTGGCTCCTTCTGGTGGGGGCAACCGGCTACTCTGTGGTGCTCACGGACACACCAAGGGCAGATCCAGTGCTGGAACCTTCCACTGCCCTCCTGATGGGGATCCCACACACACAGACTGACACACATGTGTGCCTTGAGCCCTGCAAAAATCTGGACACGTTTAGAAAGACAGAAAAACATAAAGAAGTGGGAACTGTGCTGAGGAGATGTTAGGAACCCCTCTGCAAAACAGTATGCAAGTACCCTAGTGTGGCATGATGGATAGGTTTACAATTTAGAGGAGGCTTGGAATTCTGGGGCAAAATGCAGTATCTACTCCCTAGAAGGGAATGTGGCCATCATGCTCTTCATACAATAGAATCATCTGCTCAGAGGAACAGAACAGATAGTGGAACAGAGTGGAAACTACTTGGCCCCCCTCCATTCAAACGCCAGCAGAAAGGGGGAACATTGTGGGACTCTGAAGGTCATGAGACCATACGGTGTCTGTCAGCCAAGGGAGAATCAAGGTGTTCTGCTGCTGAGCCAACAACCATGCCAAACCCCCTCTGGAGGTGCCAAAGCACCACCACCCCCCTCTCATTAGGTGTGGCAAGACAATTTTACGCCAACCAGAAATAAACAGTATTTATGACTAAAGCCACCCAAGCTCCCCAAAAACACAAACAAAGAGTATAAAAGTATGTTGGGGATGGGGGAAAGTTGGGAGAGGGCTCCACCAAAACTGCTGGGGTCAGTCAAGGGGCTGAGCCCATCTCTTCCCCCCACAGGGACACCTATTGCAGAAGCATAATACTCTACACATGTTAACTCTTGCTTTTAGGACTAGAGCTTGTGCTTGCTTAATATATATCAGTAGATTGCTTTAAAACACATTTTTGTAGCCAGACACTGTCACTGACAACCATAAAACTTATTAACCTGCCACAATTTGTATTATAAAGAGTGTTATTCCGTGAACTGTTAAGAGTGAGTCCTTTCACGTGCTGGCAGCAGATAACACTTTGGCAGGACCTGCTGAGGAGTCTTCATGTTGTTGGTTGAGCCCCCCCGATAAGGGCAGTCAAATCCCCTTTGATCTGGTGAATCTGTTGCTGAAGGGTCTCAGTACAAGACGCTGACACAAGGGTCACCCTGGTTGGACACAAGGGTCTCCACTTTCCTGGGGGCACCAACCAGCAAAACCTAAACCCTCCACTTTCACATGACACCTGGGAATGGACCAGGCAAATGAAATGTACCTTGTCTTCCCAAAGGATCTGTAGAGAGTGTACAGAGAGAGGACAGGGTGAATGAGACCAGCACAACTTCCATGAGAGCACTTTAAACAGAGAACAGGGTCGAACCCTGCCAGCAGAACCTCATCTGAGTGAAGCAAAGGGTGCCTGTCACAAACAGAAGGGAAGAGAAAGACAAAAGGATGTTTCATGGCCACTCTCATGGAAGTCCTTGGGAATGTGGGCAGAAATAACAAGAGCAGTATCCAGTTCATGAAAA